AATTAAAAAGAAATTTATGAATTTAATTTGATGGAGGTAATATGATTTCAATTTAATCTTCGTCAAAGTTAGTATCGTATGAAACACTCAGAAGCCAAAAGATTAACTCCACTTTTTGATATTCTTCCAAATTTAGTATTAAAAGAAATGCTGGGTGCTTAACATTTCAGAGATTAAAAAGAAATTTATGAATTTAATTTGATGGAGGTAATATGATTTCAATTTAATCTTCGTCAAAGTTAGTATCGTATGAGACACTCAGAAGCCAAAAGATTAACTCCACTTTTTGATATTCTTCCAAATTTAGTATCAAAGCACTTGCTTGGTGCTCGATTCTTCGTAAATTTAATTTGACGGAGTTAATATAATTTCAATTATATCTTCGTCGAAGTTAGTATCATACGAGACACTCACAATCCAAAGTGACTGACTTCCTGAAATAAAGTTTATCAAGTTCCTTTTATTTATGAAAAATTGAGCACCAAACGTAAAATTGTGAGATTATCAAAAAGTGGAGTCAATCATTTTGGCTTCTCACTGTCTCATACATCGGCAAGAATACGAGGTTTGATAAAAAATACACGGATAGTGCCTGTAACTTGATATCTCCTGAGTGAAGAGAATATGGTTATCAATACTGTAACTTCTAAAGAGCACAATCTTAATTTAGAATAATAATTAGTTAACAAACTTTCAAGACACCAAAAAGTAATTCCAGAAAGTTTCTCAATCTGAAAACAATTACATCAAGCACACCCTAAAAAGGCCTAAAAATTAAGAAAAAAGCTTCACTACTCAGAAAATGTAAGCAAATCCAAATAAAGAAAAACCTAAAAATTTGCTCAACTCCGTGTCACCGTTTCAACGTCGTCAACGCTTAATTTCCCAAGGAAAATGTCGCAGAACCAGTGAAAGAGAGTCGCGCACTCAGGCTTCTCCTCGAGGGGTAAAATTCGAGTGCGGAAAGTTTCCAGCATTCCGGGAAAAGAGGAGCGTTTTGTCCGGGGAATTGTTTAAAAATGGTGGAGTGCGTGCGGCAGCG